TTACCTAGTTTGGTAATGAAGCATCGGCAACAAAAACAGCCAAGCTCAGAGAGCACCAAGGTCTCCACAGTTATTGTACAGAAATTTCAGAACTTGGAATTTCTAATTGTACGAGACTGCAGGGGTCAGAATTACCCTGCCTCCAACCCCACAACAACAGTTAACGGGCATATATCCAAAGGCTAATAGAGATATGTCAGTGTTTTGTAAGTACTATGCAGTATGGCTGATCCATCCATTTCTTGCTTAGTAAATGAGACTAAGTAAGTAGAAAGCCAGCTTGGTTTTGTTCTGCTCTATCTTGACCCTAATTTGGTGCAGGACCTCTTTTGCAGTGAGAGAATGTCATGTTTAGACAAATCACTGAAGATGGCAAGAGTTTTGGAGGTATTCAACTTTCAAACCACCTTAAGTTTAGCTTAAGCTTAGTTTAGAAATAAACTTGATCCTGGCACCTCAATCCCTTTACACTGAAAGCAGCAAAATAAGTGATATTGGAAGAATTGAGCATGGGGTGCAAGAAGGCTCAAGAAATAAAATCTAGAAGGCCCTGGAGTAATGTGGGGATTAGAATGCAATTCTCTTCTGGATTTTAAACTTATCTCAATTTTATATGTAATTCTCAATTCAAAAAAATATAACTTATGCTTAGAATGCAAAATTTAAAGTTATGTCTAGAAATCAGGAAAAATAATAACAAAATGCATACTTTGCAATAAATGTTCAATTATTCAAAACCATGGCTTTTTATATAGATTAAAACATTTTCAGGTCAATGCAGACACAGACTGAACAAATGAAACATTAACAGAGATTGGAAATATATGGATTTCTGAAAACTATGTGGAAGCTAGCAATGTTGTACTATTTCACAGTATTTAAATCAGTCATATTCATTTAACTTCGGTTTGCTTATCCAAAATGGCATTTAAGGAATAAAAAAGAAATATAAAACAAGGACAAAATAATTAATTAGGCATACAAATATATTGATTAAAACACAGTTGAATATATTATCCCTAAAATGTGGACAATAGGTGGTAATTAAAACCAACTCTGATATTTAAGAGAAATATATTTATAGATCACAGCAAGATTCTGATTAATTTTAATGTACATACTTAAGATACTGTTCCTGGAAAAAGCATTGCTCCACTTATGCTTTCCCAGATAAGCGAAGAGTGTTTATAAGTAGATAAATAAAACAGTACAGATAAAAAAAATCTAAGGAATGGTGGTCTGAAAAATACAGAATTCCCAGATGTAATGCAATGGAGGGGAATGGACAGTGTTCCCACCATATATCGAGATGATATAGTATGTGTGTGACTTAGAAAAAATGCAGAACTGGAAATTTTTTATAACTATAATGTGGTATGCTTTCTTAGTACTTGTGTGAAATACCCAGTATTTTTAGCTTTACATCTCTATGATTTTTGGTTTTGATAGAAAGGTGAAAGGAATTTTAGCTTCTTTATATTTGTACAGTTTTTGGTAGGTTTGTCTTTTAAAGTGAGTATGTTAAAATGGATGCCCACCTGTATTTTCCTTTAATCTGATAAGACTGCTTTATTGCATATATTATATTCTGAATGAAAGACAACTTATGTTTTTGTGAAATAAATGCTGTTTTCTACTGAATATATGTAACTAATCAGAAGGAATCATAACACATTGCTTTTATGAAAGCATGTATCAATACATAATATATAAATTATAGGTCTCTGTAATGAAAATGATAAAACATTTTCCATTATTTTACAAATGCACCTCAGATTTGCATATGGCTATGCTTCAATAAACATGCTTTCAGTTCTTGTGTTATTGGGATGATTGTACATGACTTTTACAAATAATGCAAACAATATAGTATGTTCTAAAAATAAATATTTTTAAATATACAAAGTACACTTTTGCTTTCATGTCTCTGTAGCAAGATTACTCATTGTTCAACATTCATTTGTCATAACATAGCTTTCTATAATCAGCTGCAAGATATTATTCAGAATAATATGATCTCTGAAAATAGGCAATAATTTCAAGAGAGTTCAATGAGAACAGCTGAAGACAGCTTGTTATGTGAAAACAGGAAAAGTAATGACATCTGAAGACTACTTCTTCAAACAAAGTTACTCACAGGGTCCAACAACATGAATGATGAATAGAGTTGGGGTGTGAAGCTCATATATCAGTTCTTTTGTGTAAATAGTAACAGCTGCAGCCAAATGTTCTTTGTGTCCTTGAAGATAGCTCAAGGTTAAGATCTCCAAAAATTATCACTTCAGCTATGACAGGATTGTGGTATTCTTTGCTCTATGACTAGCACATAGAATAACCTGTTGGTACTGACAAAGTAGGTTTTAAGGTCCATGGAAATAATTGATATTAATAAAACTAATTCTTTTGCATAAAATATAATCCCATAATAGCTTTAACTTATCTTCTTCCATCTGGTGTCTTCTAAAAGTATTAATTTCCTGGCCAATATTAATAATATCTGCTTCTCATGAGAATACTTCACATTCTTTATGGATTCACAGGTACTGGACAATATATTTAATTTACTTATTATTTCAGGCATCCACATTCCAGGTATAATCACATTAGTATGTCCAAAACTCCAAAGTAATTAAAAACACAATAAAACTTGAATTTATGCATAATGGTCTTTGGCCAAGTCATCTTCCTCCACATTTCTTTGATAACTGGACAGTGAACCCAGGCAACATTAAACCATCTCTTCCTCAGCTCTAGATTACTATAATATTCTCCATATAGGCCTGGCCTAAATGATGATCCAGAAAATACAAATGTACAATATGTGGTGACTAGAATACTAACAATGGTTGGTTATTATTGCATGGGTCACCAAAGTTATCATATTATTCCATTTGAATAGCTTTAGTTCTATGTGGCTTCAGAATCCTTCCCCTTCAAATGGTTCTGTCCCATGTATGCATCCTTGCATTACATCAAGGAGACATGGATATGAAGACAGGTTTTTTTTTGTAATGACCACATGTTTTTGAATACCTAGTCTCAGAAGCATTCTCCTTATTAATTTTTTTTAACAAGGCATAAAGCCTGTTATTTAATTGGTCATGTTGTGAATTATTTTTGTGACTTTCTGAAAAAAATATAGAAATTAAGCAGCAATATCTTTTCAGAATATGATTACTTTTTTTTCAGTTCTGTTTGCTTTTTGCTTTAACTTTTGCACATTTACAGTCTTATGACCTAGGTATAAATGCCTGTAAATAAATACCTGATTGCTAATTACATTTGCTATTAATGCAGCTAAATTAAAAAGTTAAATCTAGCTTTGGAGGAGACTTATTTAACATTTTTCAGGGCTCCATTAAACAGGCCACATTATTACCCATTTGAGTGTAATTTCAAAAGGTACATTCATCAATTCCAAATATATAGAATGTTCAGATTTTATTCACTAAAATGCATCTCATGTTTTATAAAGTTATAATGTGATACTAATTATGGCTCTATAATCTTAAATAAAATTGATACAATACTTTTTAGTAACTATAATGATCCTTACTGTGTAAGAAGTGCAATTTATGTAAAATTAGCAAGACTTTTTGGAGATTTAAGAAATTCTGATTTATCTATTGCATCTCTATTATAGTTTCTTCAAAAGAATTCTGGGAAATGTTGTCTGATGTGAATACATCCATTTTTGGTTGTTTCATATTGCTACAGTTCCCAAGATGCCTTCTGGATTGTCTAGTTGGCAATTGAACTAGTTGAATATGGAAATGAAGATTAACAACAACAACAACAACAACAACAACAACAACAATATCACCAGAGAATATGAAATAGATGACAAAGAATTGGAAAAGATCAAAGTATCAAGATCTGAAAATCTTGATTGAAAATGTAAATATTATGGCAAAAACTGGCAGTGGTGGTCCTACTGGTTATCATCACACTGGGTACTTTATAAAAAAAATCTTAAACATTTAGAAGGTGGCACCAAGAAAATCTGCAAATTAACAAAATTTCCATCAATCAATGCAAAATATCACACTGCTTGTGTCCACACATATACTACACCAATATCTTACATCCTAGGTTCTTGGGAAGAACTCAGTACATATGAAGGCCAACATTAACTAAAGAACTGACAGCTGTAATTCACATTGTTTTAAACAGATCACAATAATAAAACATTAAACTTGTATAGAAAATGCATACTTACCTTTGAGCAGATGGTTGATCACGTATGACTTGTATGCAAAAAGCTCTCATTGCGTTCACTGGAGATGTGATTTTGTTGGTTGTATATGTTTTAAGTATAATGGAATTTTTGGCAAATGAAAATTAGGAAATTCAGAAAAGGTTATGCAAATAAACTGTCAGATTAAGCTCAAACTATATTTGTCTAAACATGCCAAGTTATATTTAAGCTTGGGCATATTCAAGATCTTTATCTGACTGAATCCATTTTGGAAGATGATAGGATCTTGGCAGAGAAACATTTATTAGCATGAAATGCTTCCAGGGTTTGGTTGTACTGATTATTCTATTTTGGTGCTTTGCAAATTGATGTATCTTCCCATAACCATAAGATCAAAAAGGAATTATATGACATAACATTGCCCACAGCGCTGACATGACAGAGGTGTGCCTCATAGGAACACAGTAAAACATTTGAATTCCTGCAGTAAGTATAGAGTATAGATGTACCTTTCAAAATGGTTTATGAATAGCAGCAAATTCAGAAGGAAGTAGTAATCTTATGAATGGGTTGAGCACACATGAAGACTATTGTTTTATCAATTATACTGGTTCCAAGGTTTGATAGGTCAAATCAGATCAACTCTGCTGGTTTTGATTATTAAAGTACTATGTGAGTTTGATTAAGATTAACCAAACTTTTTTCAATATTTAATTAGCTGGACTCTGAAATCTCAACCATTCTAATCCACATGAGAAAAAAAGGGTTTCTCAATGCTGGTGTCAGTTTGGCTATAGAATATGTTCCTAGAAACTAGTACTAGGCTAGTACTATCAGACAAAAAGAACAAAAACACATTATTTTCTCAGGCATCTAATTGCTTTTATTACAATGGGATAATAAAAATTGCATTACCATAAGAACAATCAAACCACATTATTCCAGTATAACCAAAGACAGGAGCAAATATAACATGCAAAGAGATCAAATCAACCAATTAAAATCCTTGGCCAAGAAAAAGGTCTTCAGCAGGTGTCAAAACGTATCATTGGCAGCAGCATTACCACAAAGGGAAGATTATATTATAATTTTGGTGCTTCAGGCTGTCTTCACTACTATATGGTGTATTTTACTTCTTGGAGAAGGGTTCCATTTGATGATGAACAGTCTGACTGACATAGAAAGGCAGTTTTTAAAAAACAAACAAACACTGGAACCTAAATGACCTATTATTTCTAGAACTAGCACTGTTCTCTCATAATTGCTGTAATATGATTTTGCTTTTTTGTAGTGGTTCCAATTCCAACCAGCAGCTTCCACACTAGATGGCTTGCCTTCAAGAGAAACTGAATAATGTACCTTATGGTAATCCAATTATCATGCCAGTAGAGCATACATTTCTGTGTCCTACCTATGTCTGCTGAACAGCAAGGATAGCTGGTGAGATGAAGTTGATAAAAGAAACTTATGAGCTAGAATGCATGCTTGGAAAAGAGCATGCAAAAAAGCATTATCCTGATCTCCAGTTCTGAAATATTGGCAGGTATGTGTGACTTTCAGTGTGATGATGAATTCAGGTATTAAACAGCTTGTTCAATTTCCCTGAAATAAATAAGTAGAACTTTAAGAGGAAACTGTTGCAATAGTACTTCAATGCTAAAAATAACATTCATGTTAACATAAAAAAAATTAAAAGTTAGTGTTTGAAAGCATTCTGGAGAGGAAAGTTTATGTCCATATTAAAATGGAGGCCTCATAAGATGGAGGCCCACATATAGTTTCATAATTGCAGATTTTTTACTAAAAGTAAAAGATAGAGCCCTAGGTAAGACACTAATGGAATAATTTTCTATCTGTGAATTGGAAAATTCCACTGACAACTTTTTTTTATACACATTTGCCAAGACGAACAGAACAGTACATGCTAACCTAATCTGCCCTAGGTTAGAAAAGTTTTATCTAAGCATTGCTATTTCCCCCTGTGCATGGGTCATGAAATGTATTCTGGGCCAGTTCACCAGACTGAAATGTTCCTGATAGTATTTGTGTGGTATTTGTAATCACATGTTTAAGTCTTACTTTTGCACATCAAGCTATATTTAAGTCTTGAAGATAGGTTGGTTTGTAAACGTTTTATTATTATATTTAGAAGACTTTTTATAATTTGTCAGTTTTTCATATTCTCAATTAGACTCATTTATTTGTTTGTTTGTTTGTTTTCCATTTCAACATAACCAGAGAATTTCAGCTGCTTATATTGATTTAGTTCAGCTCAATTTAGCTTGTACTTTAAAATAAAAGAACTGAATATGAATCTCAGAAAAAGGCAACAGCAAGTTATCTTTTGTTGTTTACCTTTCATATTGTTGCCTCCATGGTCATGTCTGTGTAGGTACCATGAGTCAAGGTTGTTGAAATGTTTATCATGTTGGAGGTATTTTGCAAGGGCAAATAGATTCTGAAAGGCTATTGTTATGGGATTACAGTTATGAGTATAGAATGACTGATTACTAAGCATTTTCAGGGTTTGCTTAACAATTATGATGCTTGCTTATTGATTATTGCAAAAATTTGTTGCAAAATTGAGTGACCCGCTTAACGATCAGCATGAATTATGACCATAATTCCAGGGTTAATTATGGTCATAAGTCAAGGACTACCTGTATTTACAGTAATCTGTCTGCTAGCATTAGAGAAGACAAAAGAATTAGAGAAGACAAATTAAATTTTTCATGTATGAGGAAAAATTGTTTACTTGTACAAAATGGGTTACCTGCAACTTGATCAAGTGAGAAATGTAATTGGATGGGAGATAATATGGTTCATGAAAATGTTCCAATTTTATTCCCTCATAACTCCAGCTAGAAATAAAGTAGAATTCTGGCCTGGAACCTAGAAGGACAGTCAGTCATCAATGATGCTACCTGCTTAAAAATCTATTTTTGCAATTTTCTTTAAACTGTAGCAAATTTTATTTTATAGAATTACATTGTAATATATACAAAAACTAACTGAATATGAAATAAGAAATGTCTGGATTAAACAAGCAGCTAGAAGATAGATGCAAATTAAGTAAGATATTAATTTAATAGGCTGTTCAGGAGAAAGGTATGTCTACTAAACCCAAAGATTTCTCCTTTTTTTTTTTTGCAAAAGTTGAAGTCAGGCTTTTACAAGAGTGGGTCAGTAAGGAACAGTTTGAAAACTTTCCTGTAAGGATATCGTTCTCTATATCAGCCATACAAGGACTGTTATTTATTTAGCATATGATGATGGTAAATTAGTCAGGAAACTACTATGTTAAGACAGGATAGTTGTTTCGGTATCTAAGACTGCTAGTCTGTCGGTTCTGTCCAGCTCTGTAGAACCGGTAGCTCTGAAGAACAGCAGACATAGAACCGGTTCTATGTCTGCTGATGTTTTGGCCCACCTGCCCACCTGGGCTGTTACCTGACCTTTATTTCCTGCTTTTTCAACCTCAGCTGCTGTACAAGGCACAGCTGAAGTTGAAAAAGCAGAAAAAAAGTGCTTTTTCAAACACTGCTTCTCTGCACTCAGTCCTGCTCAGCTGTCCAGGCAGCAAGTTGATGATGATTTACAGGCATAAATCAGCGTGCAGGGAAGCACATCATAAATCACCAAACCTCGTAAATCACCGAACCGGTAGTTAATCCTGTTGGATCCCACCCCTGTTGAAGGCTATTCAGAAGTGTACCACAAGGGGAAAACTAGCTCTACACTCAGAATCAGAAAGGAAGCATGATTTAAGCTGGAGTTGTAAAGAAGGAAAGGAATTGTTGCTACAACTTTTAAGTTATTTTCTACCAGCCCTTTCACCTACACCAGTGATGGTGAACGTTTTGGACACCGAGTGCCCAAAGTGCAAGGTGTGCCCCCGCTGCATGTGCCCCCAACCCCACACATGACCCCTGCCACCACATGCGTGCACACCCCTGTGCATGTGCATGCACCCCTTGCATGCCCCCTGCGCATGCCCCCTGCTCCTCCCCTATGCATGGCAGAGACCTGCAGACCAGCTGGCTGGCAGGAAGCACATGCATATGCGTGGTGGAGCTGGGCTGGGGCAATGGCGCAGGTGCCTACAGTGAGGGCTCTGCATGCCACCTGTGGCATGCGTGCCATAGGTTCGCCACCACTGACCTACACAATCAAGCCATCCTTTTTTTACCTTACTTTGGTGCCTCCCTCATTCTAGTGTGCCTCCTGACAGAAAGCCTTCTCCCTCTTTTGATTTAGCTATCGTTATGACTACCTGAAGTTGCTGCTCATTTGCTTGGCCATTGTTACTCCTTCCTTCCTTCCTTCCTTCCTTCCTTCCTTCCTTCCTTCCTTCCT